ACAGCTCACAGCAACCTCCAACTCCTGGGCTCAAGTGAGTCTCCTGCCTCAGCCTCCCAAGTAGCTGGGACCACAGGCGCCCGCCACAACGCCCAGGCTATTTTTTGGTTGCAGCCATTATTGCTGTTTGGCAGGCCTGGGCTGGATTCGAACCTGCCACCTTAGGTGCATGTGGCTGGCGCCTTAGCCACTTGAGCCACAGGCACTGAGCCGATTATCCTATTTATTGACTTGATTGCTTATTTGTTGTTCTCCTCGCTAGAATGTAAATTTTTTATTTTTTTAATATTTTTATTTTATTTTTATGAAATCGTAACTTTGTACATTAATACAGTTATAGGGTTCAGGGTACTGGTTTGATATACAACGTGAAATGCTTACATTGAACTAAGTAACATATCCATCACAATTATACTCATTTCTAATAGCTTTGAAATGTACCATTGCATCATGCACATTAGGTGAGGTCACCCCAAATACCTTCCCTTCACCCATATCCCCCCTCCCCTCCCCTCTTTCTCTTCTTCTTTTCTACTTTCTGGACTATAGTTATATTTTGCCATTCATATGAATGTGTAGGTGTTTATATATTGATTTCATAGTAACATTAAGTACATTGAATAATTTCTTTTCCATTCTTGAGATACTTTACTAAGAAGAATATGTTCCAGCTCCATCCAGGTAAACAAAAGATGTGAAGTCTTCATCTTTGTTTATGGCTGCATAGTATTCCATGGTGTATATATACCACAATTTGTTAATCCATTCATGGGTTGATGGGCACTTGGGCTGTTTCCATATCTTGGCTATTACGAATTTAAGCCCAAGAGTTTAAGGGTGCTGTGAGCCGTGACACCGTGACACTCTACCAAGGGCAACAAAGTGAGACTATCTCAAAAAAGAAAAAAAAAGAAATTCACTAAATTTTAGTGAAATTTAGTATTTTAGAACATTTTTATCACCCCACAAAGAAACCTCACAACTGTTCACCGTCTCTCTCATTTCCCTCTAACCCCCCACCCCGACCTGCTGTCCTGCTCCTGGGTTTGCCTGTTGTGGGTATTTTCTGTGACGGGAGCAGACATCATGGGGCCCTGTGTAACTGGCTTCTTCGCTCAGCATCATGCTCTGGAGGCTCATTCATGCTGCAGCGTGTGTAAAGGCTGCACTCCCTTCATAGCAAGGTCATAGTTCAGCGTGTAGACAGCCGCATTCCTGGAATGATGGGGCATGCTCCTCTCCTCTTTGGCTTGGGGTCAATAAGGCGGTTCTCCTGGGTTAAAAGCTCAGCAGCCCCCAAGCCTGCATTTCTCCCTGACCAAGTTACACTTGTGTCTCCCTAGACCCCTCTCCTGGATGACCCTGTCTTCATTCACCCTGCTTCCGTCCTCTTCAAAGAGCTTCCCGAGTTTGTGGTCTACCAGGAAATCGTGGAAACCACTAAGATGTACATGAAAGGTACAGAGGCCAGCAGGTGGACTGTGGGAGTTGGGCATTTGGGACCCGGGGCCAAAGCACTGTAACCTGCCTACAGGTGTCTGTGCCGTGGAGGTACATTGGATCCCTGCCCTGCTGCCTTCTTACTGCCACTTTGACAAGCCCCTGGAGGAGCCAGCTCCCACCTACTGCCCTGAGACAGGCCGAGTGCTGTGCCACCGGACCAGCACGTTCTGTGAGTCAGGGCAACAGCTTCCATGGCCCTTCCCATCACTCTAATGGAAAGGCAGGGAGGGGAGTCAGGAGGGCAGCTGTAGGGGCATCCCTGGCTCATCAGCTCCTGCCCCCAGATCGGGTTGGCTGGCCATTCCCTGCTGTCGAGGTGGATTTTCCAAAAGGAATTGACTGCTACAAGCACTTCGCCCGATTTCTGCTGGAAGGGCAGGTACATGGTCCACAGTTCTTACCCCATCCTGGCATGTGGGCAGGGCAGGTCCAGCTGTCTCACCTATGGCCTCTCTGCAGGTCTTCCGTAAGCTGGCCTCACACCAAAGCTGCCTGCTGTCCAGCCCCAGCACGATGCTGAAGACCTGGGCCAGGTACACCTTCCCTGGGTGGCACAGCAGGCAGGCGCAGACTGGGGCTGTATGACTTCCTCCTGGGGTGCATGACAAAGGACCACACTCTGGGGCTGAGAACATTTGAAATGTGTTCTTCCTCGTGCTAGAAGACAAAGCTGACATCCAGCTGTCAACAGGGCCTTGCTATGTCCAGAGCTTCCTTGGCATGTGGCATTATCTGTCTTCATGTGGTCTGCCCTTACACAACCCTCTTATGAGGACACCAACCATTGGATTTAGGGCCCACCCTGTTCCAACATATCTTCACTGTCTGTAGCTGCAGTGACCCTCTTTCCTAGTAAAGTCACACCCAGAGGTTCTGGGTGGACATGAGCTGGGGACAGGCACTCCCTTCTATAGAGCTAGGGGTATCAGCAGAAGGCATCCTGCCCACCTGGGCCTTAGGGCTTCCTGCTGGTGAGCATAAACCCCATCCCGCCAGGTGCCACTGCTGCCTCAGCTTCCTGGGCCTCGCTCTTCTGTCTACGCCTCTCCTGTCTTCTTCCCACCCATGGCTCAGACTCCTAGAAGCCACCGCCTCCTCCTTCCTGAGATGGGCAGAGCCTATGGCTGACATCCTAGACAGTGAAGAGGGCTTAAGGATAGCAGGCACCAGCACACACCCATGGGGCATCCCCAGCCAGGCTGCCACCAGCCACGTCATCTCCCAGCAAACATTTCCAAGCATCCACTCAGTGCCAGGATAGACATAATCCCCATCTCCATCTCTTTCCCCATGGCAATGCAGGGAGATTGAGCACAAGTATAGATGACAATGACTCAGTTCCAAAGGGACAGCACAGGGCACAGGGAGAGGCCAACAGTGCAGTTGTGGAAACCTGGACGATGATAGCCACAGTGGGCAAGGAATGTGGGGAAGGCCAGGGTGCCTGGAGCCGGAGATAGCAGTGGGAAGAGGAAATGGGTTTAGGTCCTCCCATCCTGGGATGATTGGGACGAGGGGACCTTTCCGTCTCCCAGGCCAGGTTGGGGGACGGGGGTGCCCCCAAGGCTCCAGACCAGCCTGTATATGCCCTCCTCATAGGCTGCAGCCCCGGACGGAGAGCCTCCTGAGAGCCCTCGTGGCAGAGAAGGCAGACTGCCGTGACGCCCTGCTGGCTGCCTGGAAGAAAAACCCCAAATGTGAGTTTGACCAGGCCTAGACTGTGGGAGTGTGCAGGACAGGCCCACTGAGGCAGGGGCCTGTGTCTTCGAGCCCCTGGGCACACAGCCTGATGCTGTCCCCCCTCCTCTCCTACAGACCTGCTGGCCGAGTACTGTGAGTGGCTTCCACAGGCCATGCACCCCAGTGTTGAGAAAGCCTGGCCTCCCACCTGAACCCCTGACCGACACCTGGCCGCAGGGCTGAGGACTGGTTTGGGCTCCTGCCCTGGCCCCGTGCCTGCTCCCGGGATGCAGGCCAAGCCCCTAGAGCTCTCTTGCATCTCAATCTGATTCTGGACAAAGCTTGTTGCCACCTTGTGTCATCTAACCAAATGTGGCTTTTTTATAACTATTTATTACATGATGGGTAATGGTTTTATCTCATGTGCTTGACCCCTGCTTTACACATGCCCTTTGGACTACATTATTCCCTCAAGGAGCAGCAGAGCTGGACGTCTGCAGGCCCACCCCTGTTTCCCTTCCATAAGGCAAGAGTATCCCCCCTGTGTTTCTTCCTTCCCTCAGCAGAGAGGCCTCTAGTGGTGCCTGGCCTCCCAGTTGTCCCAGACATCAGTGAGCCTCAGAGTTCTGCTCCAACCGTAGAAAGCTGACCAGGGCCCTCCCAGCTCCACACCTTCCTGAAAAATTGGCTGCCAGCACCTTTCCTGTGTCATGGCTGCAAGGAATGGGTATCATGCCCCAGGTGATCTCTCGGACAGCAGAAAGAGGAGCTGACCTTGTCCATCCATGTCACCTCCCCATGATGCAGAGGGTGGGCCTGCCACCAGACCAGAGACACATGAGTGTTCTGTCTGCCCTGAATGGGGACCCCAGACCCCTCACTTTCCCTCCTTTCCATGGCAGAGGTGGAGTCAACAAGGGCTGGGGTAGGTACCTGAGCAAGGAAGCAGAATAGGGGAGCTCCAGGCAGGACCAAGGAGTCAGGAGGCCCCTGCCCCTCCATCTTCCATAGTGAGGGGCCTGGACATCTCCCCAAGCCAAGCTGTGGTCAGGATGGATTCCACTCTGGCATTCTTCTGCAGCTTCAGTGAAGACAACTATAAAATAAAAATGTTCCCTGCATCCACATGATTTTGTAGGGTGGACTCAGGGAAAGATACCCCAGGTGAACAGTGTCCCATGTCCTAGGTCTTGGCCTGGAAGCCTCACTTGCCTTCTCAACACTGAAGGAACCTCACCTGTGCAGGTTCCCTCTTCTACCTGTCCAATGGGGGAAGTACCCCTGACCCTCCTTTCACAGCCTCCCTGTGCTCTGAGCCCATCCTGCAGCTACAGAGGCAGGGCCCAAGAAGCCTGAAGAGATATTTTGCTTGACCTGCCAGTAACTGAGGAAAACTTTACCTGGCAATCATGTGGAACTGGGATGTTACCCACTCAAGTCATTCTGCTCTCCAGCTTTCCTAGATCTCCCACTGCACAAGTGTGGGCAGTTCTGAGAAGAGAGAGGAAGCCATTCTCTCCTCCCCTGCTGCCCAGGTGTCTAGTGACGTTCCTGCCCCCATCCCAGTCTGAGGCCACAACAGAGGATCTACAACTATGACTAGGTGATTTTTTTTAAAAAGAATGGTTTTGCCAGACAGAGGCTCATGCCTGTAATCCTAGCACTCTGGGAGGCCAAGTCTGGTAGATTGCTTAAGCTCAGGAGTTCGAGACCAGCCTGAGAAAGAGTGTAGACCCCATCTCTAATTAAAAAAAAAAAATAGGAAAACTGAGGCAAGAGGATCACTTGAGCCCAGAGAATGTTGGGTGGCACCTGTGGCTCAAAGGAGTAGGGTGCTGGCCCCATATGCCGGAGGTGGCAGGTTCAAGCCCAGCCCCGGCCAAAAACTGCACAAAAAGAGAATGCTTTTATTTTTATTTAAATTTTTATATTTCAAAGTATTATGGGGGTACAAATGTTTTTGGTTACGTGGATCACTTTTGTAATGCTCAAGACAGGTTTTGTGTCTATGACCCCTTCCCCCACCCAGTTCACCATTTTAAGATGTACAGTTCAGTGGCTTTTACTGTATTCACAGTTGGGCAGTCATTACCATTATGTAATTCCAAGTGTTTTCATAACCCTAAAGTGGTCAGCTCCCTTTCCTCCCCACTCCAGGCCCCAAAGATCCATTCTTTGTCCCTGTGGATTTGCCCATTCTGGACATTCCTTATAAAGAATCATAAAATATGTGGCCTTTTGTGACTGGCTTCTGTCATTTAGCATAACATTTCAAGTTTTATGCATTCAGTAACATGTATGCATAATAGTACTTAATTCATTTTTATGGCTGAATAATACTCCAATGTATGGATAAAATCACATTTTTAGTTTCTGGATTTGGGCTATTGTGAATAGAGCTGCTATGAACATTTATGTACATTTTGTGTGGCCATGTTTTCCATGAGTACATAGGTAGGAGTAAAAAAGTTTTTTAAAACCTCATTTCTCTGTAGAGCCTTCTATGAATGAAAAATAATTTAAGTCGGGCATGGTGGCTCATGCCTGTAATCTTAGTACTTTGGGAGGCTGAGATGGGTGGATTACTTCAGCTCAGGAGTTCAAGACCAGCCTGAGCAAGAGTGAGACTTATCTCTACTAAAAATAGAACAATAGCCAGACACTGTGGTGGGTGCCTATAGTCCCAGCCACTTGGGAGGCTCAGGCAAGAGGATGGCTGGAGCCAGGAGTTTGAGGCTGCTGTGAGCTGCAACCATGCCACTGCATTCTAGCCTGATCCTATCTCAAAAAGAAAAAAAAAATTGGCTGGCACCTGGCTCAAGCGGCTAAGGCGCCAGCCATGTACACCTGAGCTGATGGGTTTGAATCCAGCCTAGGCCCGCCAAACAACAATGATGGCTGCAACCAAAAAATAGCCTGGTGTTGTGGCAGGCACCTATAGTCCCAGCTACTTGAGAGGCGGAGGCGGGAGACTCGCTTGAGCCCAGGAGTTGGAGGTTGCTGTGAGCTGT